TCCGGGCAGAATTCTGCATGCAGGACCCAGGTCACCATGTGATTGGGATCACTAAAGGCCGTGGAGAGCCTGGACAGGTTGGAAGGGGGCGGCAGGGAGAGAAAACATGGGCACCTCACCTGGGGTCACTGGCCTGGGGACGCCAAGGAGAATCTGAATGGGGTGGCAGAGAAGCCCCTTTCAAGGGCGTGGGCACCCAGCATCTGGCCCCCTAGGGCCCCTCCCATAAGCTCGGCCTCTGTGGAGAGGGCCTGGGTAGCATCCAAGCCCCAGTGCAGTTCAGGAGGCTCACCAGGGCCCCTGGGGCACCTTTCCCCACCAGGCGCATTCGGAACCTGGTGTAGAAATTAATAAAAGAAATCTCAGCTACACTGGAGTGGGCAGGGCCTGTAGGCACACTTTCACCCCCCATCACACATAGTTAATCACACCTAACAGGGAGGGACAGACACAGCATCTTCAAGACGAAGTACGACTACTTAGCTCTGAAGGAAGACTTCTCTTCCCGCTCAGCAACAGCCCAGCCAATGAGAAACGCAGTAGCTCAGCCATGAGAAGCCGGTGCACTGAACTGTTACTTTCCCCCAGAGGACTTTCCTTTAGAAAGCCCCTCCCTACTCCCCTTTTTTCTCTATAAAAGCAGCTCCTTGGTTTGTTCTCTGGAGTCACCTATGGTTTGGGATAGCCTGCACATCCTGAATTGCAATTCCCTAGTAAACTCAATTTGTGAGTAAAACTGGCTGATTTACTTTTTTTTTTTTTTTTGCTGAGGAAGATTAGCTCTGAGCTGATATCTGTGCCAATCTTCCTCCACTTTATACGTGGGTCACCACCACAGCATGGCTGACAAGCGGTGAAGGTTTGCACTCAGGAACCCAACCCACAAATCTGGGCCACTGAAGCAGAGTGGGCCGAACTAAACCACTAGGCCATGGGTCCTGCCCCGTGATTTACTTTTTAAGTTGACTCTGGTAGCCTCTGCTCCCCACACCCACTTGTGCCTGCACTGAGGGGGCCTCTGTCCTGGGCCTGTGGCCAGCCCCTCACCAGACCTGTGTCCCCCAACCCTTGGGCTGCCACCAGCGCCTGGGACCAGGTGAGGGCCCCCGCCAGCACTCCAGCGGAGTGTCCTTCCTCACCTCTGGACCTGGCAGCCTGAATTGGCAGCCCCTGCCGAGCCCTTTGAAGGCCGTGGGGAGACTTCCTTCCCTGCGGCCTCTTTCCCGCGCAGGGATTTGCCTCCGGCTGGGCCTCATCCCTGCTGGAGGCCCCCCTGCACCTTCTCTGCCTTTCCCTCCACGCCTCCCCGGCCACTGTTTGCTGGAGCCGCGTGTCTGCTTTTCTTTCCCTCTGCTTCTGGGCCCTGACATTTGTGTTTCTAGCAATTCCTCTCGAATGAGTTCTAGGGACTGAATTGGTTTCCCCAAAATTCATATATCGAATCCCCAATATCATGGTATTTGGGGATGGGCCTTTCAGGGGTAATTAGGGTTAGATGAGGTCATGAGGGCGGGGCCCCCGTGATGGGATTAACTCCCTTATAATAGACACCTGAGAGCTCCATCTCCCCGTCTCTCTGTCCCTCACGTGAGGACGCAGAAAGAGGTGGCTGTCTGCAAGCCAAGAGAGTTCTTCCAGACAACAACCCTGCTGGCCTGCCACTTGATCTTGGACTTCCAGCCTCCGAACTGTGAGAAATGAACATCTGTCCTTTAATCCCCCCATGGGTGGTGATCTGTCATGGCAGCCCCAGCTGATGACTAGGAGTTTTGTATCCAGTCATTGTATTAACTCATTGTTTCTGCATCCGCAGGAAAGCTTCCATCACTCAAGTATATTGTGTCCCCTGCACTTCCCAGGTGGTTGGACCCTCACTCCCCAGGAGGGGCTCTCCCGCAGATCCACAGCCAGCCAGGACTCTGATTTGCCAATTTCCAGCTGGTTTCACGCTGCCAACGCGACCACACCGACGCAGAGTTTTGAAGCAGCACAACGTTGCGCTGCATAGGTTTCCGCTATACTGACGAGCTCTGTGAGTGACTCAAGGATATATATAACAGGAAAATGTAGTGAAATAATTAGGAAGTGATGTGTTTTGAGTATTTTTTACCTATGTTTTTAAAATAACTCATTCTAAGTATTAATAGTTACTTTTTGATAATGTTTGTATTTAACAATCAGCTCACAAAATTCCTGAAAATTTAAGGACAGGCTCTTGGGTGCTCCTCAGTAGTTCTCAGTTTCCCTTAGAGTCTGAATCCCACAACCTTGGGACGCAGACTACAGCAGCCTCCCCACGTCCATTACTATCACCCCAAGCCCTCCTAACTCCTGGGGGTGCTTTCAGCTCCTTCCTGGCCTCCCGCTGCCATATTGTCTCTGAACTGTCCCGGGTGGGGATCCCAGATGCTGACACAGGGGGCTCCACGGGATCCTCTGGGGCCAGGGGCCTCGCCTCTTCCCGTTGGTGCCCCAGCAGCTTTCCCGAGCGAGGGAAAGGAGACGTGGGCTGCTTTTCTGGTCTTGTCTGGATCCCCAGGGTGAGGCCTGGCTCCAGGCTCTCTTCCCAGCTCTCATGCAGCTGTCTGGAAAGATACTGTTAACGCACCGGGGGCACGATCTGTTTGCCGCGAGATAAAAGCCAATCGTCAAGAGGCAAGATGGTGGCAGAGAAAGGGCATTTGATTACAGCTTGCTAGCAAGAGGGAAGACGGCCAACTAATGGCCAAAAGAATCATCTTAAGGGGGCACAGAGTCTTGAAGCAGTTATACAGGCCAGTGGGAGATGGGGAGGGTTAGGAAGGTTGACCCTCTGGTGTTACAGACTGGGAGCGGTCACACCAGCTCCTTCAGTTTTCATTGATGACGGCTGTCAGCATAGACTCTCTGTTTGGGGGGTCATCACATTCCTAAGGCACTCAAAAGAACAAAGTTATCATCTTATCGCAGCTGGGAGTTATATGCACTAGCAGGGGTCATAAAATCTACAGAACAGATGGATCTGGAGGGTGCAAATTTAGCTGGGTTAGTTAGTCAGAAGTCATTCAAAGTTACAACACGGTCTCTTTTCTACAATATGGCTTCCCTTATGTCAACCTTGTGTTGAGCCGGTTTCAAGACTACAGAGCTTGTGAAACCCAACGGGCCCTCCCTCCGCCCAGGCATCCTCCGGCATGGGTGGTGAGTTCTCCAGTTTGGGATCAGCCTCCCCACTGTGGCCACCTCCTCAGCTGAGAAAGAGTGGGCCCTGAGGTCTGTGCCCTCCATGGATGAAGTGCAGCCAGGTCATCTAAAGTCCAGGCTGATGGAGATGACCGGCTAGAGGTGACTTGACTCTCTGGATAGTGCACTTCTTAAGAAACTGCCAAGCTGTTGTCCAGAGTGGCTGCACCATTTTGCATTTGCACCATTTATATGAGAGTTCCCCATTCTGCATCCTTTCCCACAAGGACCAACCATTCTGCTTTGCCCAGGACTGAGGGGTTTCCTGGGACAGAGGACTTTCAGGAAACTCCTGGGAAAATTAGGATGGTTGATCACCTTGTCCTTGTTGGCACTTGCTATTGTCAGTATTTTTTATTTTCTCCATTCTGATACGTGTGTAGCTAGTATCTCATCCTAGTTTTAATTTACATTTTCCTGAGAGCTAATGATGTTGAGCATCTGATCATGTGCTATTTGCCAACCATATATCCTCTTTGTTGAAGTGTCTGTTCAAGTCTATGCTCAATTGTTTCATATTGGGTTGTTTTCTAACTTGAGTTTTGAGAGCTCTTTATATATTCTCTCTATATATACTGGGACTTTTTTTATTATCCCAAACAGAAACTCTGTCCCCATTAAGTAATAACTCCCCTTCCCGCCTCCTCCAGCCCCTGCAAACCTCTATTCTGCTTTCTGTCTCTTGAATTGGCCTATTCTTGATACCTCGTATAAGTGGAATCATACAGTATTCATCTCTTTGTGACTGGCTTATTTCCCTTGGCATAATGTTTTCAAAGTTCATCCATGTCGTAGATGTGTCAGAACTTCACTTATTTTTAGTTGTAGTAAAGTACACATAACATAAAACTTACCATCTTAACAGTGGACAGTTCAGCAGCATTAACTACATTCACATTGTTGTGCAACCATCACCACCACCCATCTCCATAGCTCTTTTCATCTTGGAAAAGTGAAACTCTGTCCCCAGTAAACACTAACTCCCCATTCCCCCTCACCAGGTCCATGGCACCCACCACTCTACTTTCTGTCTCTGTGACTTCGATGACGCTATAAGTGGAATCATACAATATCTGTCCTTCTGTGTCTGGCTTATTTCACTGAGGATAATGTCCTCCAGGCTCATCCATGTTGTAGCCTGCGTCAGAATTTCCTTCCTCCTTCAGGCTGAATACTACTCCATTGCCAAGAAGGACCACGTTTTCTTTATGCGTTCGCCCCCGCACCGACACTTGGTTGCTGCAAGGGCAGGTCCCACCGACAGGGCGGCGGCGGCGGGGACAAGGTGGTGGGCCAACGCCCTCCACGGTGAAGGGGAGGAGGAAGGGCAGGCCAGGGGAGTGGGGATGGGGAAGGAGACGAGGGGACTGGGAGGGAGGACAGAGAGGAGGAACCGGGAGAGGGACGGTGGGGACCAGAGACTAGGCGGGGAGGGTGGGACAGTGGGGTAGAGGGCAAGGGCGGACCAAGGGGGAGGGAGGGGAGGAGAGAGAAGGGAGCGGAGGGCAGCCCTTCCCCAACTGCAGCCCGGCTCCGCCCATGGCCCTGCCTGGCCCCGCCCCTGCCCCGCCCTGCCGCGCGGCCTGCCGGGAGACGTAGTCCGGAGACGCTCAGGAAGCCCGACTCGGAATCCCAGCGAGCCCCGCGGCGCCCCTGCGGGCCGCGACACCGCCCGCCCCGCAGCGTGCCGGGACTTGTAGTCCAGCGCCAGCTGGCGCCCAGGCGTGGAGCCGGAGGCGGGACTCGGTGTCCCAGAGAGCCCCGCGGTGGGCCACGACACCGCGCACCACCTTTGCCGTCGCCGCCACCGCCGCCGGGCTTTCTCCGGCCGCCGCCGCCACTGCCGCTGCTTCGCGGGCTGGAGGGCCCGGGCGTTCCCCGGCGAGTGGAGGCTGCGGGTGGGAGCCTTCGCGGGCACTACGGAACGGGCCGGGGGAGGCCGGGATGGAGCCCCCCGGAGGTGGGCGCGCTGTCGGGCGGGCCCGCGCCTAAGTGGGTTGGGGATGGGGCCGAACGGTGGGGGGAGTAGGGCGGGGGGAGGCTCCGGGGGCGGGGCTTGGCGGTGGGGGAGGGCGCTGGGGGCGGTTCTTGGTGTGGTGCAGAGGGGACGGGGCTTGGCGGTGGGCAAGGGCACTGGGGGCGGGGCTTGACGGGGGTGGGAGGCCCGGGGGCGGGTCTTGGCGGGGGTCGGGGGTTGGGAGCGGGGCTTGGCGAGGGGCGGCCGCGGGGGCGGGGCTTGGCGTGGGTGGAGTGTCCGGGCACCGGGCTTGGCGGAGGGGAGGCCCCCAGGGGCGGGGCTCGGTGGAGAGGAGGGCCCGGGGGCGGGGCTTTTCGGTGGGGGAAGGGCGCTGAGGGGGCGTGACTTGGCGATTGGCGCTGGGTTTTGGGGGCGGGCCTTGGCGGTGGGCGAGGGCTCTGGGGGCGGGGCTTAGCAGTAGGAGGCGGGGATGGGGCTTGGCGGTGGGGGTTGCGCTGGGGTGGTGCTTGGCAGTTGGAGGCGGGGGCGGGGTTTGGCGGTGGGGGAGGGCTCTGGGAGCCGGCTTGGCGGTTGGAGGCCTTCCTGGAGGGCGGGCCTTGATGGGGGCGGGGCTTGGCAGTTGGAGGCGGGCCGGGCCGGGGCTTGGCGGTGGGGGCGGGCCCGGGGGCGGGGCTTGACGGTTCGGGGAGGGCCTTGGGGCGGGGCTCGGTGGTGGAGGGAGTAGGGTAGGGGCTTGGCGGTGGGGGGCGGGCCGGGGGCGGGGCTTGACGGTTCGGGGCGGCCCTTGGGGCGGGGCTCGGTGGTGGAGGGAGTAGGGTGGGGGCCTCGCGGCGGGGGGCGGGGGTGAGGAAGCGGGCCTGGAGGAAGGTTGGAGGCTGGGGGCGGAGGTGGGGGGCCTTGTAGGGGCGCCCCGGGTTGGTGAGCCCCTCGGGGCGTGGGCCGGCCTGGCGGGGCGGGGAGGGCGGCCGTGGTGGGGTCTTGTTGCGGGCGTGGGGGGCGAACAGGACCCCGAGCGGCCTGCTCTCCCCTCAGTTGACTGAAGCGCAAGCCGGGCTCCAGAGCCTCCCGGCGGATCTTCGGGCCTTCTGGGGTCGCCGCGGATGGTCTGAGGGCGGCGCAGACATGGCTCACCTCAGGGGCTTTGCCAACCAGGTGAGGTGGTTTCCGCCCGTTGAGCGTGCGGCCCCGGGAGGAGCGCGGACTGCGGAGTCCGAGAGAGGTGCGGGGCGCGAGAGACGTCTTGTTTCACCCAAAAGTATCTTTTAGGAATCGTCCTGGGGTTTCGGAAGAGCGGTCCAGTAGGGGAGTGTGGGGCGAAGGGAGGCGCGTTGCCGCGGTGCTCAGGCTTGGGGGGAGGTTGACTCGGTGGCCCGTGGGTGTGCTGTGGGCAGAAGCCAGAGACCTCTGAGAAGGGAGCCACCGTGCAGGGTCCGGTGGGTGTGCGGAGACCTATGTGGGGAGCAGGGCCGGGCTGGGAACTCTGCAGGCATCTGGATCTTTGCGCCTCCGGAGGGGCCTCGAGATCAGGGTCCACGCTGGAGACCCGCGCCTGCCGGGCAGTCCGGAGGGCCTGGGGTTGGGGTGAGGGGCTGTGGTGTAAGAGTGCGCGTGTAGGGGAAGCAGAGGACGTGATTGTGAGTGGTGTTTCCACTGGGGAGGTGGCGAAGGCTGCTCTGCAGGACCTGTTTGTCCCACGCGAGCAGGCTCACCTGGAAGAGGCCGCCTTTCTTCTTTGGTTGGTTGGTTCTTGTGGTTCCCGACTCCGAGCCGCCTGGAGGTGGTGCCTGGCCTTGCACGTTCACCCGCTGATTCCGGGGGACCCTCCGCAGCATGCCCTGAGCTTGCCTGGCACAAGGTCCTGCTGTTGGTGCCAGGAAAGCGGGGCGTGGGGGCTTGTAGCCTGCACCCCACCCCCATTTCATTATTTCAAAGCAAGTGAGGTCTGAAGCTGATGTGCAGTACACTGCTCTGTGGCCAGGTGTCCCTCCACCCTGCCTGTTTGGTTTTGTCCGGCTTGGGTGCGATTTGGGCTGGCTGCTTCCGGGGGTGGGGCTCCCCTTAAGGGAGTGTCACCCTGCGGCTTGCTCCTCTGTGCTGAACCAGTGAGGACTGGGCGTGCGGAGGAACAGGACGCATGTGTGTGCTCGTGGGGGGAGGAGGAGCTGGAGTCAGGGCTCAGCTCCAGGCCCAGCTGGCTCCGTGGAGAAACCTGGAACGCCACCTGCAGCTGTTGGACAGGGCATCCTGGACCAGCTGTGACCACAGATGGGAACCAGGGCTTGCTGAGTGATGCTGAATTAGGCTGACAGATCTTTCATTCATTTTTGACGTTTTGTGTCTGGTAAATTACATGACTAAGCTGTTGAGAGAAGAGTCTGCCTCCAGCTTATTTTTAAGAGCTGTAGGAACAGCTCCCATGGGTCCCAGAAAGAGGAACTGGAGCTGTGAGCCGCCCCTGCACCCTTGTGCCGATGGTACTTGGCCTGGGCGTCTGGATCAGACCCAGGAGGGAGCGCCGGTGCGGAGGGGCTGGGGAAGGGACCCCAAAGGCAGGAAGGCCCCTTTGTCCTTTCAGGGCCGGAGAGACTCGGCCTTTGTTGGTGGCAGGAAGCCTGACAGGACGTCGTTTTCTCTGGAGACGGTTGTCACTGTGGCCCTGAGGGGCAGTGGGACATTTCCCCCATGGCTTGTGCTCTGCCCTAGGTGGCTGTCCTGCACCTAGCTAGTTGCGGCCCTGCCTACGGGGCCTCAATGGCTGTGGGGTCCCCCATGTCTGCTCACTTCGCTGCAGCCTGTCGTGTGGTGGTTGGGGATAGCTCGGCTCCCCTCATTTTGTAGAGTGACGCTAATGGCAGACACACTCCCAGGTGGTGGCCCTGGACCTGGCAGTCCCAGGGCTGATTCTAACAAGAGTCCTGACCGCCAAAGCCGGTTGAGTAGCCTGAGTGATTGTCTAGACCATGTCCGTTGTCTAGAAGGGCAGCCTGAGTCCCCCAGACCTGGGAGCTCTTTGCCTTTCTCTCACCTGGTGGGGCTGGGAACGGGTGGTCCCTGTGATATGTTTGTAGGGTCAGGGTCCCAGCCAGGAGCGTTCCAGTCATGCTTTGTCTGCTCAGGTGACTGACCTGTAGTGGTGTGGACCTGAAGAGCGTGAGAGTTGGGGGTCGGGGCTCCCCCCTCTCTGCTGAGCCTGGAACTCTGGCTTAGGGGTCTGCTGTGTTTCCTGCTCCGAGGCAGTGGAGGTCTGAGCACCCTGCTTGGGGGTTTCCGTTGTTGGGCTGCTGCTGTGGACCAGACTTGGCTCTGGCCCTGCGTGGACAGTGTTACGGGGTTTGCGGCAGGGCCGAGGGGAGCAGAGCAGGAAGACGTGTCGTTGAAGAGGCCCAAGAGTGGGAAGAGGACCCCCGAGAGCCCGAGGAGAGTGGTGCCAATTGGTGCTGCTGGCCTTGGCCCACCTCCTCCGAGTCTTCTCTCAGGCCACCTTAGAAGCAGGGACTGTGTCCTTGGAGTGGTGGAGGACACACGCTCAGGGCACCAGCTGGGCTGGAGTTAGGAAGGCTCCCTCGGGTGTCTCGTAGGGCTCGGCCAGCACAAACTCAAGGTTTGGCGGATGCCACTGCAGGGGCACTGGTAGGCGCTGAGGGGCTGAGTGAGCGGAAGGGGCATTTGGGGTGGCGTGCGGGGCCGATGGGGAGGAGCGGGCAGAAGATGGCCGTTTCCCAGACCCTGTTCCACCCACCGTGGGCTGAGCAGGCAGCGGCGAGGTCCCGGCCCGGAAGCGGAAAAGGCTCTCTCTCCGGCAGGCAGGTGTTTTCTTGCTGACTGCTCACAGGTCGGCCGTGTGAGCCCAGAGTGATGTGATGGCCCAGCCCTGCGAGGCTGTCCTCTCAGGTTGGGGCTGGTTCTGACCGTAGGATCCACGCCCTGAGGACAGTCGAGCAGCTCTGATTGGCGGCGGTGCCCGAGTTTCCCTGTTTTCTTTAGAACACATGTGGCAGGGGTGGAGAGGCTCTGCCGCGCAGCCTGAGGGACCCAGTCTTGCCAAAGCCCTCGACCTTGGCTTCGGGGCCTTCCCGTCGCAGGCTGGCTGCACCTGTCTTCTGCTGTCTCCTCCCCAGGCTCGGGCTTCAGGACAGGGTGGGTGGATCGGGCAGGGAGCGAGGAGCGCTGCCTGCCTTAGCTGGCCGTGCAAGTGTGCGCCTCACCAGCCTGCTCGGGGCGCCTGCCTCTGGCTGCTGCGCGGAGGCTGCCGCGCACCCAGGCCTTGCCCAGCCTGCCTTGTTTGGCAGGATTTGTGTTGAGACGCTGCCCTTCGCTCCTCGGCCTCTCCAGGGCCCGTCTACTCAGCTCTCCTCCAAAGTCCCTGTCACCGCGGGGCCCTGCCTCTTCTGGCTTGCCTGGCGCTCAGGATCGGGGTTCGTTGACGTCCTGTGATATGTTGCCAGGTGTGCCCCTGCGTGCTCTCCCCTTTACTCTGAGGCCTGAGGTCTTGGGAGGCAGCTCATTGGCAATTTCCGATTGACATGGAATCTCAGTCTGGAGCTGGTTGGGCCGACAGGGACTTGTGCCTGGGGGTGAGCCTCAGGGCGAGCGTGGGCTCCATTGTCAGCAGCGTGTGAGCACACCCACGCTGGGACGGCCCCCTTGGCATCCGCAGTCAGCGCTTACGCAGCATAGCAAGTTCGCATTCTGCCCTTTCGTGCCCAGCCACTTAATGATGGCGCCAAGACGTCCTCAATAGGTGCTTGGAGAGGTGTGGGGGGTCACTTTGGAGGGAGGTGCATCCTGGTGGGTTTGAGGCCTGGCGGGGTTTGGAAAACTCTTTCTGTCTCCATCTGGACGCTGTTCCCGCCCCAGCCCCTGCCGAACCCTGTGTGGGTCCTGGGGCACCTGGCCCCGTCACCCTGGCCCTTGTGGACTGACCCTGTCTTTCTGAGAACAGTGGCTTGGTGGAGGGAGTGTGGTGTCCTCAGGAACCCGGGAAACCACATGGGCAGGGCTGGGGGACACCCACATCAGGCTGTCTCAGCAGCTGACGCCCAGAGGGTCAGGGTCAAGAATGCGATTCTCGGCCCGCGGACACCCCTTGCTGACCGTGTACTAATTCTCGGGTCCCCGGGCACCCTCTGCACCAGCGGCTCAGCGCCTTTCAGGCCTTGTTTGTGTTCAGTCAGAGGACCCTGGGGAGCAGTTTTCTGTGAGATTTGAATGCCAGGATCAGCATCCAAGAAAGCCTCGCTTTTCAACTCACTGCTGGTGTGAGGGTGTAGCCGTTCTGAGGACCGATTTGCGGGTGAGAAAGGGCAGCCCTTTCCAAGGGGTGTGGCTTCCAGGTGAGCAGGGAGAACTCGGTTAGTGCATACTGGGCTTGTTTTTTTTAGTTAACAGACTTTATGTTTTAGGACAGTTTTAGGTTTACAGGAAAATGAGCAAGAATTCTGCATGCCCCTCGTCCCTCCCCTGGGGGCGTTAATCTGTTAACACATGCGCTCCTGTGCTCCGTTAGAGACAGTCGATGAGCCCACGTGATGCTAAGTTATTAATCAGTGAGGCCCAGGGTGTGTGGGGTTCACTCGCAGTGGTGGTACAGCAGCACACAGCATGGTGTCTGCCTGAAAACCCCGGGCTGCACTTCCTCGGCCCTGTGCGTCCTTGCTGCTCCCTACCTGTGGGCGGACACGCCCTGCGAGGCCCCTCTGCCTGCACCACAGGCTGGTCCTTTGGCCAGAGCCCAGCCTCTCTGCACTCTCTGATGATGTTGGCTCTTGTGTGGAGGGTAAATTTAGGTTTTCTGAACAAAAAGCGATAAAAGAAGAACCGAGAAAAGAATCTGGGTGAGCTTCCCGGCTCCTCCTCGCTCTCAGGGTCACTGCCTCCCCTGCACGGCCCCCATTGGCCAGTCAGGCCCTCCCCTGACTGAGGTGGCTGCCCTCTGTGCCCGCAGCACTCACGCGTGGACCCCGAGGAGCTCTTCACCAAGCTGGACCGCATTGGCAAGGGCTCGTTTGGGGAGGTGTACAAGGGCATCGACAACCGCACCAAGGAGGTCGTGGCCATCAAGATCATCGACCTGGAGGAGGCCGAGGATGAGATCGAGGACATCCAGCAGGAGATCACCGTGCTCAGCCAGTGCGACAGCCCCTACATCACCCGCTACTTCGGCTCCTACCTGAAGGTGGCTGCGGGGTGTGGGCCACAGTCAGTCAAATGCCCGTGACAGCCACCACCACCCCTTCCCACCTGCCGAGGGATGGAGCGATATGCCCAGGGTTTCATCCCCACACCTGCTTGGAAGGCCCGGGCTGGGTCTACCCTCCTGGGAACGGTGGGAACTGGTCTGAAGGGCCAGGGGCCCCTGACAGTTGAGCACAGACCTAGCCTCACGGTGGAGCAGGCCCCCAAGAAACGACGCCCCGGGGGCCAGGCGGGTGTGCCAGGAGGGGCCTGGTCTCATCCTGAGGGACAGCCCCGGGGTGGCAGGGCATGAGTCGGGTCTCCAGGGTCAGTTGGCTTTGAATGGCCATGGTGACCCACCCGCCTGGCTGTGCCACCTGAGGCAGCCCCCACAGGATGCGTCCTTGAGGCTCTGCTGGGAGCACTCTGGGGCCCCTGCAGCCACAGCCTGGAGCCTAGCGCCAGCTCCAGAGGGGGCCTGCCCAGGGGGATGCTTGGTGTGCAGGTGCTTGCTGGGCGGGCCGTTTTCCAGCCTGGTTTTTGACCAGGTGTTGGCAAAGTGGACTCTGCTGCTGATCTCAGCTCTTGGTCCGTCTGTGCAGTGGCTGCAGCAGGGGTGTGACGGGAGGGAGTGGGGTGAGGCTGCTGGAGCCCTTTCCTGGTGGCCCCTGAGGGGCCAGAGCCTTGGCTAAGTTCCCCCTGCAGGGGGTGTGTGTATGGGAGGAGCCTGGCCTGTGGGTTCCCACACCTGGGCATGCCCCCTGCTTGCTGCCCCGTTCTGACAGGCGTTTCTCTGGTCGCAGAGCACGAAGCTGTGGATTATCATGGAGTACCTGGGCGGCGGCTCTGCGCTGGACCTGGTGAGGTGTAGGCCGCAGCTGCGGGCGGCTAGCAAGGGAGGGACCAGACAAAAGAAGGTTGCTGTGGGGGGCTGTCCTGGCAGCAGGCCTGCACCCACCGCCTGTGGACCCTTGGGCTCCTGTGGGCCTCTTCTCCTTTGCTGTTTTGGTGCATTAGATGTTAACTAGGAGTTGTCTGAGCCAACAGGGAATTGCCAGTCACAGCTTGTCTCCCCTGCTTGGTGCTGAGGGGTCCTGGGCCTCTGCTGGCCGTGGAGGGCAGGCCGGGTTGGTGCCCCCAGGCAGACAGGCTTAAAGGTGTGGCTGGGACCTAGTTCTCACCTGTTCCCTGTACAGCAAAGGTGAAGGTAGCTTATGTTCTCTAGAAAGAACTCTCCACACCTACCTGACCTGGCATTGGAATCTTCGTTTTATTTGAAAAGTAGTTAAAGGGACAGCCCCTGCCACCCACAGTGTCACTCCTCCCCTGGTGGAGAGGTGGCGGGAGCTCGGGCCTTGGCCATGGTTCTGGGGGGTGTGGAGGGGAGAGAGGGGCAGGATTGGTGGGGGAGCCTGAGGCCCTGCTGTCCTGTCTTGGTCTGCAGCTTAAACCGGGCCCCCTGGAGGAGACCTACATCGCCACGATCCTGCGGGAGATTCTGAAGGGCCTGGATTACTTGCACTCGGAGCGCAAGATCCACCGAGACATCAAAGGTCCTGGGGGGCACTGACCCCTGAGCCCCACTGACCCTAGAAAGGCCAGGGTGTGAGGTGGCAGGCTGCTGTGAGGGGCACATGGCCGGCTGTGGGGGCCGTTGTAGCTCAGCACCCCCGGCCTTCACTCCCTGCAGCCCCTGGAAATGGAGCTCTTCCATTCTGCTCCCTTTCCGGAAGATACTGCCAGTAACAGATGGAACCATCTTAGTACTTTACCCCCCGTACACTGAGGAAATGACTCTGCACCTTGTGTGAGCAGGGACTCTACTTAAGCCCAAAATGTGAATTCTTGTCATGAGCTTACATCTGAGTGTCAGGTGTAGGTTTGAGCAGCTGCACTGAACAGGTCTGCCCTGCCAGCTGTCCCTGGGGAGGGACGTGCTGAGGGGCCGGCTGGAGATGATGGAGGATGGAAGAGCGAGGGGAGGGGTTGGGCACCTTTGTCACGTGGTTTGGGAGAGAAGGGCTTTGCTCTGTTGTTGGGATTTGTCATGAAAGGCAAACACTGCGAGGGTCCTCGGGCTCATTCTGGGGGGGTGCACAGGCTGGGGGTGCACAGGGCAGCCCCTCATGCTTGCGGGCACCCTCAGCAGTGCCCTGTGGCCCTGGGTCTGAGAGTGGACAGACCTGGCCCCGTCTCTGGCCTGCTGGATGGAGGAAAAGCTGAGGTCCTGGGGACAGCCCTGCTGGTGTCCCCAGGAGACCAGCGGGATGCCAGCAGGTGCTTCCTTAGGCAGCTGCATGCAGGTGAGCGCCTGTGTGGTGCCGAGGGTGACGCCCTGCTGTCCTGTGTTGAGCAGCTGCCAACGTGCTGCTCTCGGAGCAGGGTGACGTGAAATTGGCAGACTTTGGGGTGGCGGGGCAGCTCACAGACACGCAGATCAAGAGGAACACGTTTGTGGGCACCCCCTTCTGGATGGCACCTGAGGTCATCAAGCAGTCAGCCTATGACTTCAAGGTGGGCCTGGTGGTGAGCGTGAGGGTGGCTGCAGCAGGGCTCAAGGAGTCCCCGGTGGCAACAGTCCTGTGTGGCTCTCCATCCAGGCCGACATCTGGTCACTGGGGATCACAGCTATCGAGCTGGCCAAGGGCGAGCCTCCCAACTCTGACCTTCACCCCATGCGCGTGCTGTTCCTGATCCCCAAGAACAGCCCGCCCACGCTGGAGGGCCAGCACAGCAAGCCATTCAAGGAGTTTGTGGAGGCCTGCCTCAACAAGGACCCCCGCTTCGTAAGCCCCCCCTGCCGTGGGCCCTCAGGCCTGAGTGGCTGTCCACGGTTCAGGCTGCCCTGGAACCAGGCCCCAGGGAATGGTCCTCTGGGGAGTCTGTGCTGGGAGTTGGGCCATGACAGGGCCTGAGGCCCCTCCCTGTGCACGTCTCACCTTGCCCCCAGCACCTCCTAGTCCAGGGTGGGCTCCTCCACGGGCTTGGGTCTGGGGGAGCTTGTGGAGGGTGTTTATCTGAGGTGGACAGTGTGCAGCTCACCCCTGGCCTCCTAGTTGCATCCTCCCATCCCAGGACCCCTCACTGAGTCCTCCCGGAAAGCAGTGCTGGCCCAGCCTGGGCTGCCTGTGTCTGAGCCCCGGGAGTCCCTGGTGACCTGTTCTGTTCCCCCGGCAGCGGCCCACCGCCAAGGAGCTCCTGAAGCACAAGTTCATCACGCGCTACACCAAGAAGACCTCCTTCCTCACCGAGCTCATCGACCGCTACAAGCGCTGGAAGTCAGAGGGCCACGGCGAGGAGTCCAGCTCTGAGGACTCTGACATGTAGGGGCCTTGCGTTTCTCATGGGGCTAACAGCGGGCACACACCCTGATGGCCCTGGGTGCTGTGATATGGCCAGGCCCCCTGCTGGGCACCTGTGTGGTGTCACCTGGTCCCTGCAGCCTGGCAGGACTCTGCCCGGCGTTTAGAGTTGTGAGGCTGGCTCAGAAATGAGAGGAGGCTGAGAGAGGGCCTGTACCTGGGGGTCCTCCCTCAGTGCCGTCCCCCTGGCCTTCGTAACCTTTGCCCTCCTCTTCAGTGATGGAGATGCTGAGGATGGAGAGCAGGGCCCCATCTGGACCTTCCCCCCGACCATCCGGCCCAGCCCGCACAGCAAGCTGCACAAGGGGACAGCCCTGCACGGCCCCCAGAAGGTCTGGCCCACCTTGGGCCTCTCACGTGCGAGGAGGGTGGTGGCCTGTTCAAAGCTGACTCCGAGGAGAGGGCTGGGTGGTGGTGGCACACCCCGGGCATGGGTGCTCCCACAGGCCGCACCTTTCAAGGGGCCAGATGGGTGGGGGAGGGAGTGCGCCTGCCCCAGGGCACCCACTCTGTTCTGCCTGGTCACCCCTTCCTGGCATTGCCTTGCAGTCTGCAGAGCCTGTCAAGAGGCAGCCCAGGTCCCAATGCCTGTCCACGCTGGTCCGGCCCGTCTTTGGAGAGGTGAGGGTCAGGCCAGGGGTCTGGTGGGCAGGGGGCGGGAGGGCTATCCTGCAGAGCTGCCCCTCGCACAGTGGCGCCACCAGGTGCACTGGCCAGCCCTGCCCGAGGTGTGGGGTTTCCAGGTTCCTTGGAGCCCATTGTGGTTGGACCCATGGGTGGGCTTTTTGAGTGAAAGGACCAGAGACGGCTGGGAAAACTGCCCTAAGGTGACCCTCTTGAGTTCCCGGGACGGCTTTGAACCAAGCTACTGTCCTGTGACCTTTTATTTTGAACTGTAAACACATGGGGTGCTCTTCTGTCTAGAAAGAGCCCGGAGGTTTGGTTCTTAGTGTTGGGCAGCAGGCCTAGGGCAGGGAGGCCTCAAAGGTGACTCCCCAGTGGTCACATGAGCCTGTGTGTGTCACCTGCTCACAGGTGGTTGGTAGCATCCCCAGGGATATGATGCAGCTGGGAGCCCCCACGCCCTGGACTTGGGGCTGTAGTGGGTCTTGGGCCCAGTTCCCACCCTGGGGTGATGGCAGCACCTGGAGCCAGGGAGGGAGGACAGGATATTGTGCAAGTGTGGAGGCAGGAGAGCCGTGATGAGGAAGGTAGGATGCAGGCATCTGGGGAGGGGTGGGGGGGGGGGGCTCTGGCAGGTGCGCTCCCACGCCCTGGCCTGGAATTTGAGGGGAGGAGGTTGCAGGGAGCTGATGGGGGGAGAGGCACTGTCACAGTGGCCGTGCAGGCACCTGGGGCCATGCAGCGGGAGTTTGCGGGGCTCAGCTTGGACACTGGGACCAGAGGCCTGTCCCCACACTGGGCAGCGAGGCCTGTGCTGGGCCCCACACACGGCAGAACCTAGGGAGGTGCTAGGCATTGGAGAAGAGGGCAGCGCTGGCCTCTCCCAGGGCTGCTTCATTTGTGTTTGTGCGTGCACATGTGTGTGGAGTGGGCCCACTTGGGGGAACATGTGAGGGATGGGCCCCTGGGCTTTGGAGCCTCTGTACTGTGCCTGGTGTCGTTTGTGTTGTGAGCTTGGTGGGGAAGCGCAGGCCCACCTCGGCTGGCACAGGCACCCCGAGGGTTCTGATCCTGTGGCTGGGCCTCAGGTCAGGGCTGTTGGGTGGGGTATCCTGGAGGCTGGCAGGCTCTACCCTTTCTGTCTTGGTGACGGGTGACGGGTGAGGGGTGCAGGGTGCGGCAGGGAGGACCATGCTGACCTGTCTGTAACCCCTTCCCGCCAGGGCAGCTGGAAGGTGGGGGCTCCTCCATCTGGCTGCCACAGCCCAGGGTGGCGGCCCTCTAGCCCCGAGGGTCAGAGGGAGCGTGCTTCAGGAGGCTGCGGTCTGGCTGTGCTGTGCTGTGCACTCCGAGTTTCTAGGCTGTGTGTCTTAAGTCCGCTGGACCTGAGCTCCGGGCTTCTGTGACCTTTGGTTGGGAGGAAGCCATATGGTCAGCCTGGCCTGCCGCAGCACCAGGGGCTGGCAGAGACCGCTCTTGAGAACCAAGACCTGAGACTCCCTGAGGCTCAGGGTCAGGTGTGGGCACATGGGCAGCATCTGCCCTTCGTGGAGCCCTCAGGCTCGGCTGGGTTCCTAACCAGAACCCTTGGGAGCTTGGTGGGACCCAGCCTGTCTGTCATAGCTTTGTTGTGGACGGACTGCTAGGGGCTCTGGTGGGGGTGGGGGCACACCGCCTGGGCGCCCCCAAATGCAAGTCGCAGGCGAGGGTGTGGGAAGCCTCCAGTGGGAGCCTCTGACGGGACACGAGGTGTGGGAGCGGTGCTGCCGGGGCCCCGGGTCGGGTGCCCGCGGTCAGGCACACGTGGGTCTCTCTGCAGCTCAAAGAGAAGCACAAGCAGAGCGGCGGGGGCGTGGGCGCGCTGGAGGAGCTGGAGAACGCCTTCAGCCTGGCCGAGGAGTCCTGCCCCGGCATCTCGGACAAGCTGATGGCTCACCTGGTGGAGCGGGTGCAGAGGTGAGCGGGAGGGCCGAGTCTGGCCCTTTCCTAAGAGTGCAGGCATCACCTCCTGAGAGGAGGCTGTGGGCTTCTCTTTCTCTCTCCTGTGGACCATCGGGGCTGGAGAGGGCAGGGCGGGGCCTCTCCTGTCTGCAGTGGCTGTACTCGAAGGTTTGGATCAGAAAGTGGGCCGCCTCACTCAGGGTCCCAGTGCCTTCCTGCACAGCCTGCACTGGGGGCGGGGCAGTGACAGCCTCTCTCCTCTCGGCAGGTTTTCACACAACAGAAACCACCTGACATCGACCCGCTGACGCACCAGCTGTCTGCGAGAGGGGAGAGAAGGGTCTTTGTTCTGAGCTCCACAGGACTGCACTGACTCGGACCCCTCGTGTTGTGGCCACGTGGCTGCCGGGTCCAGCCCCCCACTGTTTAGTGGGCTGCCCCACTTCCACTTCCACTTCCCCTACTGGCCGGGCCGAGGCTCCACCCAGTGGGAAGGAGCTGACCGAGAACCTTGCCTTGTAGTGCCACGGAGGCGGCGGGCCCGGTCTTCTCAAGCCCCCCTGGCTGGGCCGCCCCCTCTGGGGCTCACGGGGTGGTGCGGCCGCTCAGACTGAGGAGTGGGATGTGGGGGTAGATGTGCCTCTTTCCCCACTCGGCCCGGCCCCTCTCCCTGGCCCGGGGCCCACGATGGCCCACGGTGGTTGTAGATTTGCCTTGTGGTGTCGGATCAGGTACCGTGTCTTCTCATAAGTACTTGTGTCAGCCAGAATGTTTTGTTTTTTAAGAAAACTGAATTTCCTTGCTTCCCTAAATATTCTGAGGTTAAGGTGTTAGTTTTCATAGGACATTGAGAGGCTCCTGTCACTTTCAATAAAGACCTGAATTGGAGACGTGCTGATGGTGGGTGGGAACCAGGGCCAGGCGGGGTCCGACAGCTCCCGTTTCCCCCAGTGAGTGCTCAGTTCCCGGCTTCTGCGTCACAGCACGCGGTGACTGCATGTGGCCCAGGGGAAGGAGACGGGCAGGGGCAACCCCAGACTGAAAGAGGGTGGCGCGCTGGGAGTGCCCTCTATTTTAACTGCACGCATGTTAGCGCGAATGCAGAGAGTGTGTAGTCTACTTGCATTGTTAAGAAACACTCAGGTGCTCATAAATTAGAGGCCCTCGCCCTCCAGCGCCATGCGGGACTTTGGTTTCCACTTCTCCAGAGGTATGTGGGGTGGGCACCAGAAGGCGTCTGTGGACTTTCGTGCAGTTGTTGTGACATGAGGGCCGTGCCCCAACCCCTGGTTCACCCAGACTGAAGGACAGGGCGTCTGGGACTGTGCGCAGCACATGTCAGAGATGGCGCAGCCTAAGAGGGTGCGCGGGGGGCCCCCGAGGTTCCTGTTGTAGGCCCTGCTCAGGAGGAGGAGAGGGCAGCCGGGCACCGGCGTTGGTCACTGCACTTGAACTGGGCCTGGCGTCTCCACTTGGTGTGTGTGCTTCCCAGTGTCCCACAGCGCTGAGGGACTGCACTGTCTCGGGGGCTGACACCCTCCCAGATGTTACTGTGAGGACCCCCACTGTCAGTCCAGTGGGAAGACTCAGGACAAGCAGTCTTGGGGCACGTGCCGACCCTGCTCTGCTTCCTCGGCTCTGCTCATCCAGGCATGTGGGCTTCATGCCTCTTCCTCCGGGGGCCCGGGCCTCCCGGGCGAGCTGCTGGCTCTCTCAATCACCTCCATCCACCTAGAGAAGAGGTTGGGCGTCAAAACCCTCCAGATGCCCGCTTGGGAAGCAGGGCATGTTCTGGCCTTCAGGCCATTGGGTGTTCAAATATCTTCCCAAGAATGATCCAAAATATGGAGTGAATGGGACAAAACAAGGTCCAGTTAAAACCCTGGAAGCAGTACTGGGCTCTTCCTTTCCAGAACCCAGGAAATGTGCCTCTGGCGCCCTCGGTGGAAGCAGGGGGCTGGAGGGGACACCAGCAGGCCCAGGCTTCCTGCTGCAAAATTACCTCCCAAATGTGTACTTGCTCTCGGCCCGGAAGAAGTAGATGTGGGATTTAAACTGGAGCTTGAAGACGTGCTCCTTGTGGATGCCATCGGCCGCCCTGGGGACACTCACGCTGTAGCCCAGCAGTGGGAGGCTGGCCAGTGGGTAGTCATCCTGGAAGGCAGCACACAGCTGTGTGGGCGCTCTCCCTGCTGCCCTGGCCCTCCCCTGACGCCTTGCTCCCCCGACCGACCGGTGGCAGCAGGCTCAGATGGACCCACAGGCCGAGGGGGCCCCAGGATGGTAAGACCACCCTCCTCTGAACCAAAATGGGAAGAGGGCCCAGCGAGCAGGGGCGGCTGTCCTCGTGCCACGGGCACAGCTGCCCTCTGCTCAGTTAGGCCCCCTACCTGATGAGTTTTGTAGAAGAACAAACAGAAGTTGGTGAAGACCACCCAGAGCTTCTGCCAGCCGGTGCTGTTCTTGAACTTCCTCAGCAGGTATCCCGAGAGCTGGTTCTGAGAGAGAAGCGGCCGGGTGTTGGTCAGCGTCCTGACCCCAGGCCCCAGGGCAGCTGTCCTCCTGGCTCCGGCCTCCTGGGGCCTGCTGGGAGCACATGCGCCTCCAGGAATGGGGGTCACCCCACAGGCTCTCTTGGCTGAGGCCTGTTTTACCTCTGCACTGCCGTGAGCAGCAGCCTCGTGCCTCAGCGTTTTAACCATCTAACAAGGATGTTAAACGACCTGGAGAGTGAAGTCCCAGGCACTGAGTAAGACAAGCCCCAGGCTTTCCCTCTGCATCATCAAGTCAGTTTTCTGACATGGTGTCCCCAGCCATCATAATCCCCTGACGCGGGGAGAGGAGGCACCGTACAGACCACACAGAGCCAAGTCTGGAAGGTTCCTTTGAACGGGGGTGGGGGGTGGGGGGGTGGGGGGAGGCATGTAAATTCACGCCCATACAAGACATCCGGCCCGGCTGCCCTCCTCTCAGCACTGCTTCGCGGGCACCCCTCTCACCACCTGGCCAGTGCCACCACATGTCTCCTTGTGCCCTTACTCTGGGGTGAGGCTCATGGGGCTCAGTACATGTGTGGACAAGATCCACTTATGCCTGCGTCAGGGTTGATGCTCATGAGGCCCTGGAGGGGGCACCGGCCCTGTGCCTGCTGATAGATGAGGGGACAGCACGGATGGCTGAGGAATGTGCAGGGCCACTCCCCCAGGCTCATGGGTCTCAGCGTGCTGGCCACGCTCTCCCGTTCACACGTGCCCTGTGTGTCAGGCCCCACCTGAAAGGGGAGGCTGGGGCTCTGAATACATCCTTATTCAGCTCTCCTATTCCCGCCCAGCTTTGCTGTTCCTGCCTATAGGTGCGACAGAAGCTCAAAAGCCACACCGAATGGGAGGCAGCCTGAGGACCAAACGGCTGGAGCCCAAAGTGACCACTATTGGTCATGGTGGCAGAGGGGAAGCAGCAACCCCAGAGTGACAGGCCCTTTTGAGAGAACTCCAGGGACACTGCCCTCCTGGCTTTTCCCAGCACACGTGGCTCAGTTTCCCTCACTGGTTACACAAGCCCTGAGAGTGACTCACCCTACACCCCTGGCAGCCCCTGGACTGCTCTGCCCAAGGGGATGTTCCAAAGCGACTTCCTGTCCAACTTCTCTTTCTGGGAGAGAGCAGGAGGCAGCTCACCATGGCCTGTGCACCTGGCCCAGCCCTGTCACCTGGGATCCCCATGGTCCCCTCCCCAGCAGCCAGCAGAAGCAGAGAGGGCGCTCATGGCAGCCGTACCTCGACGGCTGCTATGTGGTCAGCTCTGGAGACACTGGTGTTCCGGTACCAGCATACGTGCACTGTGGTGTTGGCCCGGTGCTGGCCCTGCCCCTCCAGGGAGCTGTGGGTACTGCGCGCGTCCTCTTCTGACTCCTGCTCCAGAGAGACCTCGTCGGAGGATCCTGGAGGAGAAGTCAGCACTCTGCTCAGGGGAGACAGGACCCCCCCAGGCGAGTGAGGCCAGGGGCACCTCGGTCTGGGCATGTGCTCTGCAGAGAGGCTGGGACCCTGGGGATGGGGGAGACCTTCGGGCCCTGTCACCAGCAGGCAGAGCAAAACCATACGGGGCTTCGGCCAGAGGAGCTCATGACCCTCCCACCAGGGCGCAGCCTAGGACATTCCTCATGAAGGGAGAGCATGTGGGCTTAGTGGACAGACTGTCACCAAGGAAACCAATTTACAGAAACGCTTCCTTAAGTACAGGGGGGGTCTCAGCCAGAACTCACTGTGTGGTGGAGTGCACACCATGCTGCCTGGCAGCGCCAGGGACGCGTCAGCACCACTCTTGGCTGCTTCAATCGCAGTGTTCAGGTCGTGCATCCACTTCTCCTTTTCCAGCCGTGTGCTGCAGGGGAGGGCCGAGGCTCAGAGCCGGCTCAGCAGGGCCCCACCTCTCAGAGGGGGACAGAAGGCCAGGGTGCCTGGTCCACCCCCCTTGTACCCTGTCCTATGGGCCCAGAGGACTGTGGTGAGTGCTGCTTGGGGTCCCGCCTGCACCCTGGGAGCTGTCGGGGCAGGAGAGGAGGGAGGGCAGCACCTCGGTGCCGGAACAGGCTCCATAGGGCAGTCTGTTCCTGAAACCAGGTTTGTTCAGACTCTGGTGCTGAAATAGAAGATGGCTCATGGTTCAAGATTAAGCTGCCGAGGTTTCCTGGTGGGAGTTAAGTGCCCTGTGTCCTAACGCCGGCCAGGACGCTGCAGAGTGGAAGCTGAGAGCTAGACGTCTGTCTGGGAGAAGAAATGCTTCTCCTTTGGAAGCCCCTAGGGGAGGGACAGGGCACAGCATGGTGCTGATGCCTGCGGTGGGCTGCCCCTGTTGCCTTTGTGCTCAGGTCTCCTTCAGGTTGATCTGAGGCAGGGAGTTGGGGAAGCGGCCATTTGCTCCTGGCTGTGGCCTGGGTGGCCTCGTGTTGCACAGCCCTGGGGGCAGAATGCAGGTGAGGTTGGGTCCTGGTGTGGCTGCCCCACCAGGATCTTCCCACTAGCCTGCTGGCTCTTCCCCTTGACTTGAGGATGCCAACACTCATGTCCCTGGAGACCAACCATCCTTGAAGGCCCAGGCTTGTTGAGCACTGTGAAGGGAGCAGCTCAGCAGCACCATGGCCAGTCTGTGGGGACATTCATAAAGGTCACAAACTTTCCCCAAGGGAGAAGCTGCTCCTTTGGTCACATAACTTTGAAGTAATCTTCAAGGAGGCACACATCCCCTGACTGTGACATTCCCACAATCAAGAGGGGACCCTGGGTCATGACAGGGCCCCTAGGGCCCACTGGGATGCAGGCGTGGAAGGCCCTTACCTGGCTGCTACCACCATTGTTTTCTGAGCTGCATAAATGGTGAAACAGTGTGGAACAGACCATTCACTCTCGCTTTCTTCTACCTGTGGGTGGGAGAAGAGGCAGAAGCCTGGACCAGGAGCAGCGCTGGCTGAACCCAAGCTTGAAGCACAACACAGGTGATGTGGAAGCTCTTTGCTGTCCAAGTCTATGTTGACTCTATGAGGGGCTACAGGAGGCACAAGGGGTCCCCACGCCATGGCACCTGCCACCCAGGTGGGTGAGCTGTGGGCCACAGGCACCCAACTACTCACCGGTGGATCCAGCACTATTAGCTGAAAATCAAGCACAGGAAAAAATGTTGAGCATTTTCATTATTAAAAAGAGAGTTGGAAAATTCATTTTATAAACCTGGTACCAAAACCTAACAAATTTAGATTCAAAGAAAAACCTACTAATCTCAGTTATAAGTGATTAAATGAAAGACCTCCAAAATAAAATGTTACTCAATCAAACCTAAAAGTATAGACAGGAAATTGTCCATGACCAAGTAAGATTGTTCTAGGAATGTAA